AGTCTTTTATAAGTCTTTGAACAAAGTGTAAAGGGTATGTTCGTTGGTAAAACGGGTAAGTTGTTTATTTTATTCTATTTGAAGATTGAGCGTAGAGACTTTGGTAAATGTTTAAAGTTTCGTTATTTATAGAATCGTGAAGTGGATTGTCTACCAAATGGTGTTGGTTAATTAGAATACTTCATCATTTATATTGTTAATGCTTTTTTTAAACAATCAATAATGTCTTATGACGGAACATGTAACGAGGTTTTAATAACGATTATTATTGAACGCTGTTGTCTGATTCCACTGGGAAGTAAAAATTTATTCATCAAAACCTTATTTCTAAGTCTTGTTCGCTTAAAATTCCTGAATATTTAAATTCTTGGCAATTAGATGCTTATGCGACGCATTAGTGAGAAGCCAACTTGAATATAACGCAACAATTTGGGCACCGGATGACGTTAAACACAAGATAATGGTAGAAAGGGTTCAAAATAAATTTACGCGGTATCTATATAAAAGGTTATACGGTGTATATCCATTGTATCCGGTGTCGTATCCTATAGCGTAAAGTGGAAGTATGACAAATACTTTCACGTTTCGCTTGGTGATTGAGGTAGCCGGAGAACAATTATCAAAAGGTTGTCAACGCATCTGTAACCCTCGGGTGAGGCAGATGTCTATGGGCGGCGGTATTCACTTAACATCAGATGACCCGGCTGTGCGTTTGGCAACTTTTCACATAGAAAAAAAATGCATACCTTCTGCGAACTTGCGCAAATACCGTCTCCTACACGTCCCTAAATCGAGAACGGCATACAGAAAGAACTCTTACCTGTTGAGGTTGAACCTATTGAGTTAAACCATCTTAGGTTTGAGAAAATCGTATTATAAAGATATATATATCGTATTATAAACATAAAGATATATTTCGTAACCTAACAATGTGAGATGTTCTAAGCCCATCGTTATTCACGCAGAACTAATTTTCAAAGTTTTTGATATTAGCTTGCTCAGAACGTTTAGTGATATTCAATAATAATAAATTATAAGTATTCGTCAATTCACTGGTCACTGGCATCGAATGAATTTGCGCTTCAATCGTTCTATTTGCGGCAACAAATTAATATCTGTCACCCACCGATTGATAGAGGGCCATAAAACCATTTGCTGAAGTGAATAGAATTTTGTAGCGAGAACATTTTCTATTGTAGACTCCTCTCTAATGTCGTGGGTAAATCTAAGGATATTTGTTAAGGATTGATAGCTCGGTATTGTAATATTCGATGCTAAATGTGACATTGGAAGAAGGTTACTTACGTTATTTATTGGAGTTTTATTTTGATATTGATGAATGCATGTTTTGAATATTGTTTTAGTTTATATTGTTGAATAAACAGTTATTTAATAGAAAGTTGATGGTACTTTGGTCAGATACAACCTGATTTATATTGTGTGCACTGTTAACATCAGCATATTGATTTCGAAGAATAGATTAAACCTCGATTTGTCTACATATTTATTTATCTCGCTTATAATTTAAGTTATTGACAGTGTAAAGGCGATGTATACAAAAGTAAATTAATTTTACTTTTAGGCAAAATGTGGACTAATTTATTTATGAAGCTTAAGCCTAACTAATATATTTGAAAGTAACATCAAACATAATGAGGTACTTAGACAAAGAAATACAGTAAAGAGATAAATAAGCTATAAATTTTTTTGCGAAGTGATAATACAGCCCTCGTTGTTATGTGTTCTAGATCTTACAAATAGAAATGGAGAGTCAACTAAGCACACTGTACTTAAAATCTAAGAACATCATAAGCTTGCCTTTTTTCACTCAATTGTGTAACAGTTTTTATTTTTTTTTTGAGCTGTCCTAGAAGGTGGAAATTTATAGACGCGGGTATCGGGAATCACAGCCTACATTGACTTGAGCGGCGCACTATCTCCTCGGTGAATGTAGCCTTATATCGACTCGAACATTATGGCCATGGTGTTAAACTTAAACGTGATCTTACATGAACAAAGTTGCCCTTATTAATAATACGATTAAATAATTAATAGAATCCAAAACATCATTGTAAATTATTATTTGAGAAAATGTGCTTGCTGTAAATGAAAATTTAACATTAGATGATGACAAATGTAACATTAGATCACGCCAAGCATTGCTAAAAATGCAATAAATACAAAGTAGAGTCTACGTCGAAACTTTCGCCTGGTGAGGACGTCGACCGCTTAGCTTTGTGGCCAGAGCGTTTGTGCGCGAAATAAGAAATGAAAAAGGTAAAAAAAATAAGAAATGTAATAAAAATCGGTAAACATCATTTACAAGATAATTTTTTATTGTTGATAATATATTATTATATACATAAAAAATATAAATACATACAATTACATATATATATATATATATATATATATATATATATATATATATATATATATATATATATATATGTGTGTATATATTTTTTTTTTATTGTTGATAATATATATGTTGATAATATAGTTGACTTATAAAAAATTAAACTTAAAAGTTGTTATGAAGAAAAAAAGTCGATACAGTTATGATATTTGCACGTGAAGAGTAATCATTAGAGCAGAAAAAACAATACACGCCATTGAACTTATTACCACTGAGACAAAGCATTATAATAGTGCATTGTTTTTGCCTTCGTTAGTTGACTACGAGTTTTTCATTGTTAAAAATAAAATAAGACAAATAATGAGTTGTCAATTACACTTTATAAATTTCTCCAACAAATCTCATGGAAAACCATTCGATTGCTATTTGTTTAACAACTCAGTTCAGGTTCTGAATTGTCTTGATTCCAGTCCTTGGGATAGAAAGAGAGAGATAGAAAGTGATGTCATTTTTCTCGGTTCTGACGTACCTCTTACGATTTTCGCACATTCAAAACTATTATTCTCATTGATGAATATTTGAATATTGAATATTTTATTCTCTGCACTGTGGACTACAATTAAAAACCCTTAGTCATATGCTCAGTTGACATTCCTCCGGGAAGCTAACTGCCTTAATTTCCTTTTACGCTTTCCTTATAAATCTCCTTTGGTAGGCTTACTAGATTCTTTGTTTTGCTATTTCATAATTTTTTTTAAAAATCTGTCTTAATTAAATTTTTCATTGTGCAATAGTATTGCTTTACTAACTTTAACTATCATTTATTTGTTTATAAACTTTGAAAAACTTTCTTTTTTATTTATATGACGAGAAATAATCATTTTTTTCAAATATAATTGCCGATTGACGGAAACATTTTTCTTTTACTGTATTCATATAAATCGTTATAAATAGATTTAATATACTAACAAACATGGAGTGGAAAGTTCCTCTTTATTTAAAGAGCATATCGCAGAGTTAACGAGACTTTACCGAAGCTCGCAAAGCTCTCATAAACTTATCCTGTAACATCCAGAGAGAATCCACACTAACGACATGAAGAAACTATGTCAAGGCACCTTCCGCGTGTTCGACTTTTCTTCTTTATTAATAACATCTTATCCTTTAAACGAGCAATTCTTGTATATATATATATACATATATATATATATATAATCGGAATCTCGGAAACGGCTCCAGCGATTTTCATGAAATTTAGTATGTGCATAGATTTGGGGGCGAAAAATCGATCTAGCTAGGTTTCATTTTTAGAAAATGTCCTTTTATCCCTGTTTTCAGGGAATGAAAAATATAATTCGAATATCACGGTAAATTTCGCCGCAAGAGAAAATGTCAAAATAGCTCGGTCGGTAATCGGGCGGCCCCAAAACAGACGGCCCTGGTTCGCGTCACGATCATTTACACATTTATTTTTTTATTTTTTTTTCGATTCCAGATCATTGCTTTCTTTATTTTTAATTTTTTGTTGATTTCTTATTTTGTTATTTTTTTCCCTTTTTTTTTTAAAGTTCTTTCTTTTGTGAAAAACATCAGTTCATATTTTCTTATTATTACGTCGGTAAGATCGAAAAATATTATGCATATTTCATTACTCAGTAATTTGTGTCTAAATGTAATTTCCAAAATACACGATTTACCAAAAAAAAAACAAACCGAGCAAAGCTCGGTCTTCCGGGTACTTATACCTTATTCGCGTATACTAACTACTATTTTTAGACAAAAAACAATTGAATGCTTTCCATCAATTAGACTTAAAATAATGTAAAAGATTTTCTTTAGCAAAAATTATATATATATATTTATATATTAATTTGTACTTATTTTATTATGCTATTGGTCTACAATAAAGTACAAATAAATAAATAGAAGATTATGTTTTATTCTTCATCATAAAAAATAAAAACTAAAGCTAAAATTTTTATGAAATAGGTATCTGTATATAATTGTATCCATACATTATTTAATTGTTGCATATGATATATATACATGAAATTAAATAAAAGGTTTCTTGGTGTATTCTAGTATTAATTAAAATTGAATCAGAATCAGAATATCATTTATTTGCCTACTTTGTGTATTACAATTTATAATCCTGTGGCCGGTGAGCCGTGCAGGGATGAGTCAGCTAACTTATGTCCTAATGGATCTGTGTTTGCCGTGGTTTAATTATTCGTAATAAGTTAGTAGGTATACCATTACGTACAAACATATTACGTGTATCATTTATTATGTTTGCTTAAATTCTATCATTAACAGAGATTATTTTATTTTAAGTGGACGCGGAGTCTTTGTTTTATCAGCAGGCCACCGTCTGTGACCTTTTTTATTAGGGTCATACAATATTTCGCCTATTCTGTGATTAACCGTAAGGGGGTTGAATTCGTCTTTCGCTTGGTAGGCGTCACCAGGAAATTCAAGATCTTCTATTTGTAATTTTGCGATGGTTTCCAGCATCTTGGTATTAAGGTCCTCGTGCGCGTAGATGCCAGGCTTCTATATCAGCCATCTCCCAGATCGCTTCCGTGGGTGTTCGTCTTGGTAGTTGTGCAGCCGTTTTCAGCGCCATTCTGTATTGGCGTTAAATTTTACTTAGGTTTGTTGCGCTATACCTAGAGAGAAGTTGCACTACTCCGTAGTCCATCAGCGGTAAGATACAGGCCTGTATGATGGCCAGTTTAGTGTCTAGTTCGGTCTTCGCATTGTATCCTATTATTGGGCCGAGGGCTCCTCTGACTTGTTTTAGTTTTTTGATGACCTTTTCGGTGTGCTGGTTCATTTTCATGTGTTTATCGAAAATAACACCGAGATATCTGATCTGTTTTTGATAGCGCAACGTTTGTTGTTTCAGTTTCACTGTAGGTCGGTATTTTTTCTTTTTAGAGAACATGATACATTCTGTTTTCTCTATGTTACACTTAAGCCCCCATCTCGTGTAGTAGTCAATGATTATTTCAGCCGCCCATTCGGCGCGCATAGTCGCATGATCTGGATTCGAGGCTCTGTTGAGAATACAGAGATCATCCGCGTACTGTGAGAGCTTAAGTCCTCTGATGTTGTCTTGTATATCCCAGATGTCATGAACATACATGTTGAAGATTACCGGCCCTAGGATCGAGCCTTGGGGCACGCCGTGAGGTATCGGTTTGTCTCTGGTATTAGTAGTTCTGAATCTACCCCTCAGGTTTCTTTCTTCTAAGTAGTTCTCAATTATTTTGATGACATTGTTAGGAACGTCTTTATCCTGAAGTTTTTTGATCAGGCCTTTGTGGTTGATCGAATCAAAGGCTTTCGATAGGTCTGTAGATATCATGGAGACGCTGTCTTCCGCAGCTAGTGCATCTGTGATAATTTTTCCCGTTCGTAGGATTTGTGTCGCTGTTCCTCTCGCCTTTGTAAAGCTGGAACTTTGTTTGGTTGTAGCCGGTTAACCGTAGTGGTAAGTCTGTTCAGGATCAGTCGCTCGCACAGCTTGCCCATGATGTTCAGCAATGTGATCGGGCGATACGATGATGCCTCACGGTGATAAAAACTGAGTTGGTCCCCGAAGAATTTCAAAAATGGTTAAAAACATTTTTCAAAAATTATAATTAGATTAGAAGGATGACAGCTAAATAAGCATACTCGTATGACTATACGGAGGGGCACACTGTAATGAAATGAAAATCACATGCGAGGTATAGCTAAATTTTATTTTATTGTTTTTCGAAGTGTTCTCGATTCAACTTAATGCACTTTTCCATTCGTGCGAACCAATCATTAAAACGGTAATTCCAGTCTGAAGTTGATGTTGACAAAATGGCTGATTTGTAAGCTTCCACAACTGCTTTAGGGTCTTCAAACCGTTGACTGCGTAATAAATCTTTCATTTTAGGGAATGTAAAGAAATCGTTTGGGCTCAGGTCAGGACTGGATGGCTCATCAGCTCAACGTTTTCCTGCTTCAAAAAATCATTTGTCTTCGGAGCCGTATGGGAACTCTCATTACCGTGATGTAAGATGATGCGACGTTTTGGGTTATTTTTTCAGAGTTCGGCGGCAATCATTTCTGGCAAACAAACCGTGACATTCCACTCAGCGTTAACCGTTCTGCGCTCCTGTAAAGGAATTGTAGTAACATGCCCCGTTTTCGTGACAAACGTAGCGACCATTTTCTTTGACACGCTGCGGGAGAGAACCACTTTCGTTGGTTTGACCTCGCCTTCGAAGACGCAAACTGCTGACTGATGTTTTCTTTCAGGTTCGTATGAATAAATCCATGATTCGTCAACTGAGACGATGTTATAAACGGCATTTGAGTTCCCTCCGTTGCAGCGTTACAGAGTATTCCGGCCCCAATCTACACGAGCCGCCTTTTGCTCTTCGGACAAATTGTGGGGAACTCAGCGGGAAACTACCTTTCTTACACACAGTTTATTATGTAATATCGACTAAATTGTAGTCATTCCTATACCGCCCATGGACATCTGTTACGACCGACGGTTACAGATGCGTTGACAACCTTTTAAAACTTATTAAAACTGGGCTAATTATGGCACGCAAATGTTCACGCGTGAGCTCCATTTCTGTTCACGACGTGTCACCTTTAAACCAACATAGTTTTTAAACATTTTTTTTAATTTTTTTTGAATCTCATTAAGATTTTAAGAGGCCATTATTCAAATTCTAACTTTAAAATTTAAGAACTTCCACTATAAAGGAAACAGTTGCTCCCAAATTCAGTTCTTTAGTAAGGTCTTCATTCTTTTCCCTAAGAATTGACACAGGTACAGGAGGAGTTGTACCACAATAAATCTTTTTCAATATGTACGTACTTGCAGGATTTTAGCTCTAAGGTGTAGTCAGGGTCAGCAACATCCATGCCCATCACTACTGTTATGAAATTCAACCGGAAAATTTCGTGATCTTACGTTAGTATCTAATAATAAAGTTAGCTAGTGGATCGCCAGATAAGGAGCAATATGTGACCAATATAAATAAAACCTCCAAGAATACTTGAAGGATGGTATATTTGCTTCGGCAGTATTGTTTATTGTGAAAGTGTTATTAAGGATGTCGGGTGAAATAAAATGACTGTCATTTTAATAATAATATAATAGGTATATTTTTATTTCAGATAATTTTACAATCCATATAAATGCAAGTAAAACGAAAACTTAAAATCTAGTGTTAGTATTGGTAAGCAAGTTCCAAATAACATTAAGAAACATATTCATTACAAGTTGCTGCCCGCGACTTCGTCTGCGTAGAATAGGTTGAAGGCGTAACATTCAGACAGAAAGACAGATATACATAAACATATGTATATAAATTATATCATATATGTTATTCTGATGTATACGTTATATTATTGTAAAGTGTCATTAAAATACATTCAGTAGTATTTGCGTGAAAGAGTAACAAACATTTATTTATTTATTAAGGTCTATCTACAAAATTACATTGCTAGCACGTGCTATTGTAGTTTCCTTTATTCTTGAAAGCGTTTATTATTATCTGATAAACATACTAGATAGTGATCTATTCGTCTAGACAGTTGCGTTATATATATCATTTCCTTCAATCGGTGAATTGATTGATATTATTTGATAACATTTATCAAAGATGGTGGCTGCTATTATAATTCATTTCTTATAAATCTACTTAGAACAATCTTGTGGTCGCTAGAAAAGATATTTAGGGTCTAAAACTAAAAATATTATATAAGCCTCACGATTTGTACAAAATTTGCAATGTCTTATGAACGTACATTTATAAACAATTTTTTTATAATACATTCATACTAAAATTATTATTTCAAGGCCAATTACATTTGGGGGGATAGAGGCTTTGAGAAGTTTACGGTAATACATTTGGTTAAGAGCTGATAAACATACTGAAGACAAATGCTGCTTAAATGCTTTGAAATAATACTTTAGTTTAAGGTAAATAAAAAATAACACCAAAAAATATTGTAAGTCCAAACAGTTTGTATTTTATAAAATGGTCTGCGATGCCTTTTATCAAACAGTGGGTTTTAGATTTCTTTTAGGTCGTGATACGTTACAAAAAGGCGAGGTGAGAATTTCTCAGTTAAAGAAACCCGACCATTTTATCAATCTCAAAACAATTTTTATGTGACAGGTGCCATAAGTTGTATAAAATTTTGGATGTATCGTTGCCTTTAATTCTATTCGGGCAATTGAATGAATTAGTAGTTAGGGATCAGAGGAATCAAATGCATAAATAGGATATTGATAAATAAAAAAAAAAATGGGAAACACCTTCTTAAATGTCGGATAGTAAAGAGAATTTTGTCTAACGTGTTAAAGTAAAAAAAATACAACAAACTATCTAATTTAAAGACGTATTTCTCGATTCTTCGCAGACCAATATGAAACTACTTTTTTATTAATAAGTAAAATTAAGTTTTTTTTTTAATTCGCAGATAAATAGAACTGAGTAAATTAATACCAGTATTTTAAACATTTTAAATGTCAAATAGACTTATCGGCTTATAAATTAACTCGTTAACTTTTGAACCCGCCCTGGAATTATGTAAATAATGACATAAAATAGTGTTAATTATGTAAATAATGACAACGAAAAGTTGAACCGAAAATTAATCTTAACGGCCATTTTAATTTCGCAATTTAAAATACTGATAATTTTACAGCCTCGACTTCTTTCAAATATAAGCTTTTTATATAACAAGAATATGGTTTACATATCAGTCTGTGGTAATATTTGTTAGCATTGTATTTTATTAGAAATGCTAATATGATCTCTAATCTTTAACTTTACGGCAGATGTAAGTAGTATAGTAAAGTAAAATAAAACCGTTCAAAAACTTTTAAGTTAAACGGTTTTATTTTATGTTTTTTTTGTTAAATTTTTTTTTGTTAATATTGTATTGTCATCTAACTTAAATGTGTGTACCAAATTTCAGATCAATCTGACAACGCCAAGGTGCTTAAATTTCAATTTCTAATTTTGACCTAATCTAATTCTGATCTAATTTTGTCGAGCTAAATAAAACCGTTTAATAACAGCGAAAATACATCCCACTGTTGGGTAAAGGCCTCCTTTATACAAAGGGTTTTTTTTCTTTATGGCTAAGTCAAACACGCCACCCCGCTGCGGTTGACGGACAACACATATCTTGAAATAATTATTTCGAAATGCAAGTTTCCTCACGACGGTTTTCTTCACCGCTGAGCACATGATAAGTCAGCGCTTATAGTTAACAATTTCATTGCGCGGCATTAGCGGCACCGGGATTTGAACATTGGTTTCTTGACTATTTTCACTATAAAGCCAGCCAGCGCCTGGACACTGAGCTATTGCGGACCGTTAAATTAAAAATGCATCCGACCGTTAAATTAAAAATGAATATAAGCTTAAACACAAGCCCGATTACTCAATTGTGACCAGAAATTTCGAAAGCAACTTCAACATTGATAAATTGGTATTATTATATTTTAAGTACGGAGTCAAGTTGTACGTACTATAAAAATATTAAACAATCACGAACATAATATGATAGATATTAGATGACGTGATAAAGAATAAATCAATATACAAAAAATATATTGGGAGTTTTAAAGTGAAACTTCTTTAGAATCTTTTAGATGTTAACTTTTGTAGTGCTATTCTCTGCAGTTATGATAAAATTTGTAGAAAAATTGACGAAATTTTTCACTGCTTTAATTGATTTCAACTTGCGTCCACTTAGGATACAGGGGATCGCGTTGTTATTTTCTGATATTTTTAATTAGATTGTAAAAAAATTGACTTCAATTAAATAATGTTATAAAAGAAATAATCCTTACAGTGATACTACTCTTGATACTTTATATTCACCTCATACTCTCTTAGGTTACTTTTCTGAAGTTTTCATTCTTTTATGGTGTGTGAATTTCACATACACACACACACACACACACACACACACACACACACACACACACACACACACACACACACACTAACACACACACACATATACACAGACTGTTATTAAAATTGCTCGAGGAATATATGAATATTGATAGTATTAAATGAAAATTTTGAGAATTGAATTTTCCCTGCGTTTAGCAAATTAAAATGTAATAATTCACAAATTATTGAGTAGCTCATACTTGAAACTCGTATTGATATATGTGGTAATAAGTTCTTTGGGGCACCACTAGTGCTCACATTTTAATGCAAATGAAAAGTCGATATAATTTAGAATGTCATATATTATCGGACATTTAAATGTAGTCTGTTCAAACATTGCGAAGATTAGCACCGATAGTCAAACGGACGTAAAGCACTGTCAAATGGATTATCG